GGAATTTAGACTATGGCTCCTATTGATTGTACTCCTGAATAGAGATTGCTGCAACAATCTCGGATGCATCCCCGCCTTCCCGAGTCGCGCCCATAGAGTAGCCTCGATAGAGCCCCAGCAGGCCGTTCTGTGCGACAACCTTCCTGCCAGGATGTTCCAGCAGCATAAGAAGGTGCCAGGGCAGAGTACGCACATGGAAATAACCAGTAGTGGAGAACGGCAGGGGAAGTCACCAGCAGGCGGCAGCAGCAGCAAGAAAAAAAGCAGCTTGCAGTAGCCAAGACTAATTGTCAGCGTAGATATGTGTCGGAGACTACAGAGTGTTAGTATTAGAAGTGGAGATTCAACGCATGAGGTTGTAATGACCGTCCCTCAACCAGACTCCTCCTTGAACACGCTTCTACATCATGGTACAACCCAAATCCAAGCCCTCAAAAGTCTTCCCAAAATTCGTCCCACCAGGGAAAGATTATCGCGCCTGGCTGTGGCGAGCATTGAGGAGCCATGGTTTGACTGGTTGACCTGGACAAGACCGTGACGGAACCATGTCAGATGATGTAGATTTTGTTGCTCCAAATCCTCGATAACATCGCGCTTGTCAAACGTGGCCTTGTATCGCGAGGGACCTTGTGGATTTGCTGCTGTGAAGTACCTAGGCATCCTAATGTTGCTGCTTGTTAGCTTAAGTGTTGCCATGGTTCCGAAACTATAAGAAGGACAAACGGTACTGAACATAGGGAACTGGTTTGGTGTCTAAAGGGTACCTTTGGATAAGTGCCTGGTGCTTAGTGGAAAGTACCTGTTTCGTAGCTGCGTGTGAAGGAAGGGATTTATCTAATCGTTTGTACAGGAATTCCGCCAAAGACAATCAATCTCTATACTCTTTTCCACATTCTATACCAAGGACAGCAGATACAAACCCCTGAATGCCTGCTCCTTTGCCAATTCTCAGACAAGTGTGGGAAACGTTGCCCCAGTTTACCATGGATTTCCTTTAAATATGCAAGAACCCTACATGTCGGAGTTGGCGTCGTTCTCCGAATCACGCCACCATTTGGAATTGAATTGTGGCAACGGGACGTGGTGCAATATTGGATCCTTATTGTTATACTGTGCGCGAAGCAGCACCAAACAACAATGCAGTGTTTGAGGAGCCGGCCATCATGCAGCCAAGCAAGCAAACACCATCAGCCATCATGGTGCTAAGGTTAGCTGGGAATGAAGCAGTGGAATAGAAAATGGAAACTACTNNTGGGTTATATAGGGACTACTGCAAGCCCATTAATTCTGAACTAAAGCATCGTAGTACAGGCCTCAACCAACTGCGTGGGCGATTGGATCAGCGCTGATGCAGCCTTAGAAGATTACCATGGGCCATCATGTAGGAGCCTATATATGATCCGAATAGGGTGTAAGGTTCGTTGAAGTGAGGCTTGGGGCCAATGATAGAGGCCTGAAGTAATCAGAACAGCCCTAGAAGTCTTATATGAACGCTGTCCAGGGGTTGAATATCACTTGCGCTCGCGCCTGAAGTCTAGAACAATGCAGACTCGGATAGACACTAAGTAGCTGATGAAATGGAAGCTGGGGATAGGTAGTGCTAACGGCGTTTTTCTAAGGACTTTAGGAGGGA